ACAAATAAGTGGTGAGGAATATCCACCAAAAAATTTTTCAGTTCCTTATGCAACTTCTTTTTCAATTTTGACCACTGAAGGGTTTCAGAAATAAAATGCGGAAATCTAATTTTGATTAAAATAGGTGACGTATTTATTTTCAAACAATATTGCATCAATTTTTATTTCGTTTTCTGTTAGATTTGAATTAACGACCGGAAAGCTGGATTTAGGTGACCCACCCATTCATTTGCACAGAAGTGTGACGAATCATTCATGTGTTTAATAAGCATTTGCTAATTAATTTATATTGGTTAATTTTATTCGTCACATCCCTAGTGCCAAACGGAAGAGTCGCCTATAATAAACTTAATCCGAAGAAATTTACGTATTTCGTCAATGGGAGATTTCCTGATTTTAAAATTTTGATACACAATAAGAGTTTTTTCCAAAATACGCTATTTTTTTTAATTCCGAAACACAACGTTTCACAGCATTTCCATGCTGTATACGAATGTGGGAAAAGGCAGTTTCTAAATATAGATTATAATGAAAATATTTTTAGGAAACTTCTTGGCGACACACATATATTTAAGTAATAGCTTACATACGTGCGTACAAACATTTTAACAAAAATTGATAATCGTATTAAAATGATAAAATTACCGAACGAATGCTTTTTTAAAGTATTTAATAATTTACAGGATGATTCTAAAAGCTTATATTCATGCCTTCTTGTAAATCGTCTCTGGTGCAGGATTGTTGTACCAATATTATGGAGTAATATAGCAAAAAAATTAAATAATAGAAAACTTATAAATACATGCCTTTTGGCATTGAATGAAGAAGAGAAAGCACTATTAAGTCACTTCGAAATTCTTCTTCCAAATCATCCAAAACCATTATTTGATTATACAAGTTATGCTACATCTGTCGGCAGTTCTTTAAATGCTGGAATTATTAAATGGCTTAACTATAATGGTCATAAAGAAATACAATTTAGATGGGAATCTTACAAGGATAATCTTGTAAATGCTGTTAAATGTTCTTTGATTGCATCGTTTTTACGAACAAATAAGAGACTGGAATATTTAGAAATCTTTGGATTTATTGATAATGATAATAAAATTATCAAAAATTTAAGTGGAAATAATAGTATTATTTCCTTATATCTTCATAACAATTGGTGTGATTCCGAAGGAGTAGCCGAGATTCTTTGCAAGAACACTACTTTATCTCATTTAATACTTAATAATAATAACGTTAGTATTAGAGGAGTAAAAACGTTAGCAAATGCAATTCATAAAAACACAACTTTAGATTCTTTAAGTCTTATTTACGATAACATTGGTAGTGAAGAAGGAAAAGTATTAGCAGCGGCACTTTATATAAATACTACTCTAACTTCTTTAGATCTTAGTTACAATAATATTGGTGTTGAAGGAGGAAAGGCGCTAGCAGAAGTTCTTTGCAAGAATACTACTTTAACATCTTTAAATCTTAGCAGTAATAATATTGGCAATGAAGGAGGAGGAGCATTTGCAGAAGCACTTTATATAAACACTACTTTAAGTTCTTTGGATCTTAGTTGCAATTATATTGATGTTGAAGGAGGAAAAGCATTAGCAAAAGCACTTTGTAAGAATACTGCTTTAACTTCTCTAAATCTTAGTGGTAATAAAATTTGTATTGAAGGCAGAAAAGCATTTTCAGAATCTGTTTGTATAAACAACACTTTAACTTCTTTAGATCTTTCTCATAATTAAAAATGTTTTTAGTTCCCTTGGATTTTCAAATCGGTTATTAAGATGAAAACATATTGAAAAGAAAATTGGTTTTTTTTTTTTTACATAAACGTCTTTATTTTCTTAAATTTTGATGAATATTTTTAGTTTATAGAATAGTAGATATTTTGTTAAAAAGCTTTTTACAATATAACAGTGTTTATCTAGAGATTGTCACTTTTTAGTATATAATCTATGAATTTGTTTCAGAACCGAAACTTTTTATGAAATAAAAGTTTTTTTTACTTAAAAGATAAAACTTCTTTTTCAATAATAACTATGAAATCTTAAAGATAAAATTACTAAATCATAATTTCTTTGATCGAATATTGAAAACTTACATTATGATAATTTTGAGTGCCTCAAAGAATCCAGACCTTTCATTTAACTCAATGTTTAAAAATTGAGTCACTCATTCCTTCAGATCCTTTATAATAGTAGTAAATTTGAAGGCTCATTTAATTATACAAATCAGAAATAGTTTAAGAATGGGCAATTGTCTAGTCGAATAAATTAATTTGCAACACGCACCGAGAACCTTGAATGCATAATACTGCCATTACGGTATGCAGTAGCAGGTAGCCGGTACGAAGACGTAATATAAGAATGCGAAATTTTTATTATTAAACGAGCCTCCTAAGATCATTCAATTCTTAATATAAAATCATGTCAACGGAAAATTTGGCAATGGTTGTAGAAAAACAAATCAGTTTGTTAGAAAGGGTTTTACCACAAAATCCCGAAAGACAGATTCCATAAGAGACGTAATAACGACAAAGTTAGCCAGCATTGGTTTTAATGTTGGCCAATTTGGTCGGTATTATGTTCTTTCGTGAAATAGTTTTCGGGATTTTGTGGTAGAACCGTTGGAAAAGTAAGGTAATTAATAAATAATATTAATTTAACGATAGGTAATTTAAAATTTAGCAATGATTTGGTAAATCATTGAGCGAAACAAACACTTTTCTGTTCAAAAAAATTTACTATGTGCAAGGGAGCTTCCACTTATTAGGTACTTCGTTCAAAAATAAAATATTCGTTAAAATTGACTGGTGTGTGCAAAGAACTTTTTAAGTAATCATTTAAATAAGTAATTCAGTTTATGAACATTTGATTATTTTTATTATTCGCAAAAATTTAGTTATGATAATACAGTTGTTCATTTAAAATAAGCTATTTGAATTTGTAAATACTTAATATTACATCCTATTCATATTAATTTAGTTGTAAATGCATATGTTTTAAAATTTTTATCCTATATCCAAAAATTCAAATTTAGAAAGATCACATTATTTTTATATTTAAATTATTTGAATTTACGATAAAATCAATATTATTATGACTAATAACCAAAGTTTTTAATGTATTGTTCTTGCAAAGTGCATTCTCTAATTCTTTTCCTTCCTCCATTCCAAGATTATTACTCATAATATTCAAATAGGTTAACGTAGTGTTTTTGCAAAGTGCATTAGCTAACGCCTTTCCGAATTCTAATCCAAGGTTATTATCCCAAAAAATAAAGAAGTAAGCGTATTGTTCTTACAAAGTGCATTAGCTAATGCTTCTCCTCCCTTTGATCTAAGGTTATTACGCCCAAGATTCAAAGAAGTTAGAGTAATGTTCTTACAAAGTGCATCAGCTAATGCTTTACCTCCTTCTGATCCAAGGCTATTACAATAAAGACTCAAAGAAGTCAGAGTGGTATTTTCACAAAGTGCATCAGCTAATGCTTTTCCTTCTTCGGGACCAAGATTGTTATATTCAATATCTAATGAAGTAAGTGTAGTGTTCTTGCAGAGTGCATCAGCTAACGCTTTTCCACTTGATCCAAAATTATTATTGGCAAGATCCAAATATTTAAGATTCTTACTAGTTCGTAAAAACATTGCAATTAAAGAACATTTAACTGTATTAAGACTATATCCTATTTAAAATCCTCTATCATGAAGCCAATATCTAACTCCATCATGCAAATCATAACCGTCAATAAATAACTTGTATATTCAAATAATGGTTTTGGATGATTTGGAAGGATATTTTTAAAAGGAATTAATAGAGTTTGCTCTTCAGCATTTAACATTAAAAGGAGTATTCTTATAAGTCTTATATCATCAAAACGAAGTAGTTTGCTCCACAATATTGGTATAATAATTCTACACCATTGACGATTTACAAGAGCACACGATAATAAGTTTCTATAATTTTTCCCGAGATTTTTAAATATTAGACAGTAACATTCATTCGGCAATGTAATCATATTGAAAAAGGCTTGATAAATACAGAAATAAGAAAAAAGGATTGGTAAATACAGAAATAACTTATCATTTATGTACGAACGTACGTACGTACGTACGTACATACGTACGTGGATACCTCCGTAATATTGTTGTGAAACGTTGCCAAAAATCCAGATTTAGAAAGGGTTGCTGACTAATTAACAATGTCGAGATCACGTTATAAAGGCTTTATTTGCTTAATATCGCGCAGCCTTAATACAGTCCCACCTTTTTTTCCAGAGCATTTTTGGAGATATAATTCAATATACAAAACATATAAAAAAAGGAAATTTATTCTGCTAAAAAACGGGATATAACTCAGGTTGGGATTAGAGGTGCAGGTGAATCGTCCCAATGATGCCGTAACTATATTAAATAATAATAAAAAGTTACGACAAATATGCCGTAACTTTTTATAATTATTTAATATAGTTACGGCATGTTGCGGCATGATTCACCTGCACCTCTAAATCCTCTGTACATATATGAGTGCTGTCAAAAGAAATCTTTATGTCATACTTTTTGTACATTTACTTTATCACTCATTATTTCAATATCATTTGAATCGTCCTTATGAGACGATTCGAACAATTTTAAAATCTTAAGTTTCAATTACTTGATTTTAAGATATTTTTATTAAAAGTAAATATTCAAAAAAGCATCTTTCCCTTGGCGTCATTCATAATGCACGTACTGTACTGTACGTACGTATTTCCCTCTCGTCAAAGTGCAGTTCCCTGTCTTTAGTTCCTTCGTAATATAAAAGGTGCATCACTCGGGATAATTCAGAAAACAAGTGTTCAATTGCAGATAAGCTTGAAACTGCTTAAAAAATTCCTTGAAGTGTCAAACCGCCTTAGCCTTAATTATTCTTAAATTATAAATACCACCAAAATTTCCTTAACACAATATACATATCTTCTTTTTCTCTTGCAATTGGATTACTATCGCTATCATCAATATGAGTAATAAGACATTTGTATTCGATGGAGATAAAAAAGAAAGCAAAACAATATTGGGACTCTTGGAATACTTCGGGATTAACCGATCCATCGATGTCAAGTTAAATTATTTCAACGACATTGACACCATTTCTCAATGTGTTATTGATGAATACAAACTTGATGTTAAACTAAATGATCTAAGGCTCAATGCATCTCTTATGTCCGGCTCTCACAATTCCTCTGGCATTCAAGCTTACTATTATTTCGCTTTTATTTTTGACGACTTGATGATTTTCAGAGGACTAGATTACATTGATCTTTTCAAAGGTCTAGAAGGTAGAAAGAATAACTTACCACCTCTGATATCTGAGATGCTATCTCTTTTCATGAATCACTGGAAGAAAGACTTTAAAGACAAATATATACTTGTTATTTAATGGATATCGGTGGATATGGTGTATTCCACAGAATAATAGTAAAATCACGTGGCCGGAGGCCACGTAGTTTTACTATTATTCTGTGGAATACACCGTGTCTACCGATATCCATTAAATAACTAGTTTATCCCATGGGTACGACGTAACAACTCGTGCAACACGTCATTTAATAAACTTCAGGCAAACGGAAAATGTGTACCAGGTTGGTGCGCCATATACTTCGGAGGT